AATATTCGATCTAATTCAAAGGAGGTCTTTTGCATGGATTAGGGGGAAATCTGTAAACACTATGTTCTTCTTTTTTAGTTGGTGTAATTTCCCTAGCCTATGTGTACAAGAAATCACTAAAAACTAGATTTGTTGTCAGACATTCAGCTTTGATTCTTGAATGTCCTCATAGGTTATCTTTTGTAATGTCTTTTGGAGACTAAGAGTTGAGTACCACTTGTACTCCTCATCACAATAAAATATTTGATTCATCTAAAAAAAAAATCAACTTTTAATTTCTAACATAATAATTAATGAAAAAATGTGTAATTAATATACTCTTAAATTGTGCTCTAGAGACACAAAAAAAAAAAAAAAACCATGTTTTTGCTTTCTCACAGCATTTTTTGCCATAACAGCTTATAAAAGTGTTAATTTATAATGATTAAATAAGTTTTACTTAATATTTTTGCATAGTTTCATGGTAATATTAATATATAAAATTTTTTTAAAGCTATTATTAAATGATAACAAAATTCTTTTCATAATAAAATACTTAAAATCCTACAACTACAATATTTTATAATAATTTCAAATACAACCAACATTTAGGACTGAACCACCGGTCATAGGGAAATGGGAAATAAAAGAAAGTCTCAAAAGACAAAAGCGTGGTTCCATCGTCATACCATTCATAATACATAGGTATGGGTAAATTATACACTTAGATCATTTTCCATTGGTTGGCATTCAGTAAAAAATGCCTATATAAAATACACAAAGGCATGTACTTTCTACATGGGTTTTGATGACTTCTAATGATTTATTGCTAAAATGGTGAATTCCTATGATCTGGTGCTAAATTTAGGAATCTTGGTTTTGATGTTTTGACTTGTGAAATTACAGCAAATGAAGCATTCCAAAAGGTGGTGACATATGGCTTGGTGAACAATATGGTAATCTACTTAACGAAGGATTATCCTATGACTGCTGCTAAGGCCGGTAATGCTATATTCTTCTGGAAAGCTGCTAAGGCCAACAATGCAGTATTCTTCTGGAATGCTGCAACAAGCTACGAACTTCTTTTGGGTACTTTCTTCTCTGATTCATATCTAGGTCGTTTCCTCACCATCGGCATTGGTTCTTTGTCAAGTCCATTGGCATAATACCATTATGACAACGCCAAAGGCAGCAAATGCAGCTCGTGGAATTTCAAATTTTTTTGTGGGCCTATCCATGGAGCAACCAGAATGTGGCATGGCGCTTTGTCTTGTTCAAGATTTCTGATCATGCATGCTTTGGTTTCTTGTTTTGTGGTTTTGCAATGAATGAACGAATAGAAGGTGATGATGAAGTGGGGAGAGATTAAGGAATTTATAGTCAGGAGTTCTTGTACTGGGAAACCTTTAGTCATGCCTTTACGAACAAGTGGTGAGTTTGTGTCCGATTGACATGGGATCAACTCAAGAATATTTCAAAAATTAGTTGAGTCAAGTGAGAGAGAGTTTAGGTCGGCCAACTTTTCGCAGTAAATTCTTGATTCAACAGAAGTTATTGGCAATAAAAAATATATAAAGAAAATAAAATAATTTTTAAGAAATAGAAATGGTTTTGCATTTTCCTCCTTAAATTTTTACAATTTCTTTAAAAATCTATTATCTTTAGATATTTTTGAGAGGATGGTATCTATCAATCCAAATTTTCAATCTTTTCTCCCTTAATTAAATGATGTAGCACCTCACAACCATCCAATTCCAAATAGGGTATTTTATATAGGTTAGTTTATAGATAAGAATGTTTCCATCATCTTAACATTCACATTTTAAATTTAATGAACGAGGGAGTGCTACATCATTTAGAATTTTTTTTTAAAAAAAATTAAAATTTTGAATTAAGTCTTTTCAATATAGGATTATGAAAAAATATTAAGACAATTTAATTTCTGCCTTAAAATTGAGATGTTTTAATATTAATTTTTAATCAAGATTTATTAAAAGACACAATATTTAGATATTTTTTTACTAAATTTTTTACCAGTATATAGTTAATAAACATTTTTCTCATTAAGTATTTTGCCTAGAAACTATCCTTCCCCTCTAGCCACCATTTTGTCACCAGACCAAAAGCTCAAATTCCCTTTGTTGTTTGGTACATACTCCTATAAATGCACCAGTCTGTCAGAAGATTGTCTACAATGGATATGGACAGCCGTAACAGAAGGAGCACTACCTGGTTTAATTTATGTTTCTTCCCCTGAACGGGCCTCGTTTCCCTCTTTCTTGCTCTCTCGATCTACCTCCCTCGCCCCTTTCTGCCTCTCTCACTCTGTTTTTTTCCCTCTCTTCTAACCCTTTTGTAAATTTGCATTTTATGATTTTACAATGCATATTTACAAAGAAAGAAGCAGACAATATACCAAACCTTTTTTCGCACAACAAAATGATTTCATTAGATAGAGTACAAGGGGTATTATTGCCCATAATACAAAAAGAAAAAGCCATTGAGCATCTACTGACTCTGCCTTATTTCCAAGTAGAGTCAATTAGCTGCTTAGTGCAGCTTATTAGATTACATCTAGGGGATTCCATCAATGCCCATTTAACATTAAGGACAAAGCCATCCAATCTTATGACAAGATCCTATTTCCTACCACAGTTTTCTCTAAGGCATGCCATAGGATTGGTTAACCAATCAGAAAGATTGAACAAACATCTGGACTTCCTTGTTCTAATCCACAAAAAAGATTTCAGTTGAATGTAGTCAAACAACTTACTTGTATTCACGTCGGAGTCTCGAAGTAGCTTCTGGTTTCTTGCGAGCCATATGGGCCACACCACAATGTTCCAAATACAATCGGAGCCTTCCTTTACACGTGATTCCTTAGCCCACACCCGAACTACTCAAAGATTTCCAGTAATCAATTTCCAAAGTAACTGTGATCCCCCACCATTTCCCACAAGCTTTCCACAACCACCTAGCTATCTTACACTTCAAAAATAGGTGAATAGAGACCTCAACCTCCCCCTCACATAAAACACTATTACCTTCAGCCGAATCATTAATAATCCCTCTTCTTTGCAAGTTACTCTTGGTTGGTATTCTATCTTGTAGTAGTTGCCAATTAAAGGCGGAGATTTTGCTAGAAAGAATAAGGTTCCAAACTCTCTTGTATATTGAAGATGTACCCAGTCCATTTTGCTCATTTGCCAATAATCTATAGGCTATTTTAGTTGAGTAATTGCCTTCCTTGCTAAGCTCCCATTTCCATGTGTCAGGACTACCCGGATATATCTACACATTGTCAATCTTTCTTTGCAATTCCGCAACTTCTTCTCTTTCCCAGTTGAACAAGGCTCTCCTCCACCCGAGATTCCACTTCCATGTTCCATTTTCCTCATTACCCATTTGGAAGCATTCTTTCTCCTTTCCTGTTGATAAAGCATACAATCTCAGAAATTGATTAGCAAGACATCCCTCCCCACCCCAATTGTCTCACCAAAAACTCACTCCCTTTCCCTCCCTTAATTTTAGCTTGAAACCCTCTGTCAACCACCCTTCACTCTCCTCGTCCACATTGTTAAGACAGCACACATCTCTCCACCATAATGATCCTATTCCCCTTCCCTCCCTTACCCAATCAAGCCAATGACCACCTCTCCCACCATACTTACTAGCTATAACCTTATCCCATAGACCCTGTTCCTTAGTTGCTAGCCATCCCCACCATTTCCCCATAAACGCCAAGTTGAACTTCCTCATCTGTCTCACTCCCAACCCACTATACTGTTTGTTTTTGCAAACCTTCTCCCATTTAACCCAATTAATTTTTTTACCCTTTCCCTCCCCACTCCATAAAAAAACTTTTGCGAATTTTGTCAATAGAGTGAAGAATACCTTTAGGAAGTAGGTAGACTAACAACAGAAACACGGGCATGTTAGACAACACAGAATTAATGAGCATGATGCAACTCCCGAAAGAGAGATGTTGGCCTTTCCATGATGCTAATTTCCTTTTCACAGATTCCACCAATGGTTGCCACATTGCTATTTTTTTGTGACTCCCCCCTATGGGGATCCCAAGGTATTTAAATGGAAGGTCCCCTCCTTTACAATATAGTCTGTATGCCATACCAAACCTAAATCCAGCCAATAATATATAAATATTGGATTCTATGGTATTCTTTAAAAAATACATTAAGTTATTAACACTTTTATTTATAACACTACTGCATATCATTCTCTCTATTCTCCATATTATTTCCTAACTTTGTACTGCTCTTTTATGTTTACTAATATGGTTCCGCCTATACAACACAATATGTTTTTATCTCCCTTACTCTAGCTTAACTTACATGTTGATAATTTTCCTTGGCAACAATTATTAAGATGCTTCTAAACTAAATTTAAATTATTAAGAATAAAATAACAAATTAAATCCCCACTCATTCATATATATATATAGAGAGAGAGAGAGAGAGAGCAAGAGCTTATAACATGGAATTAGAGGTGGCGAAAATCCACCCAACATGTTAACCCGATCCTAACTCAACCCGTAAAAATGGGTTAGGGTTAATTAATTTTCTTATTGGTAATACTTTTCATTAATTCATACTCTTCAACTTTGTTTTCATTACTCAAATGGTTCTGAAATTATTTTGAGTAGTTACTCATCATAATTTCTTCTTCTTTCTCTATAAATTATATGGGTTTGATCTAATTATTAAGTATCATAAATTAAATGATAATGAAACTAAAAATATTAAAGATGTGATGCTAGGATATAAACATAATAATTTAGTAAAAGATGTTCTTAAAAGAGTAATTTCATCATAAAAAAGGGCTTAATCTCCTTGATAATGTTTTAAGAAGATTGTAAAATTAAACTTTTATTTTTTAAGAAATTTAAATGTTTTAAGTTTAATATTGTTAATCAATTTACTATTATTTATAACTTTATGATTTTTTCTTAATTTAAATATATATAGTTGAGACTATAAAGTGCTTAGTGTTAATGAATTATAATATTTTAATTAAATTTAGATATATATAACTTTATTTGTATATAATAAAATTAATAAAAATAATTATAAAAAATAAAAATAAGATCAACATGCGGGTTAACTCGTAACCCATTAAGATCAAATTAATGTTGGACTTTTCCAACTTACAATCTGTTTACAATCCAATCCGCATAATCCATCACCCAAGTTAACCTGACCCGAAACCGAACCAACCCTTGTGTTTGCCAGGCGTATGTGGAATGTACACTTGACAATGAAAATATATAAAAATTTCAACTAACAGGTGATTAGTCTCTTTATTCAAATTTTAATAAGTTTATTTATTTTCTCTAATAAAATAAAAATATAATAATTTATTATA